GTTTGCATATTGATCATTGCGTTTACGCACTCATTTTATGACTTGATCATTTTAAAATTTGGGTTTTCTTCTACTACTGTTCCGCAGACAGCTCAGCTCTGCGAGGTCGCAGTGTTTCACAGCCGCCTGTACAATCGTTCTTCCAAACAGAGACCACTACTCCTATGCCCAACTGGGTCTCACGTGAGCCCGGTATTTCCAGACCACGGAATTCCTTCAGTCGTTCTCCTATGCGACCAACTCCCATTTCGACTGGTGCTACAACTACTGCAGATACAATTCAGTCGATAGATAAGTCTTCAACGGGCTTATCGTTTTTAAATGCAACGGCTGTTGGATTCGTCTCTCCGAAACTCATCCGTTCTCCTGCTCTGAAAACAGGTATGTCTCCGTTCCCCTTTTTCTATGTTTACACTCAGCATGATGCGTGCCGAAATTTTGGCCGACCATCTGTTTAAGTTCCCAACCTATCATAACTCCATCATCTAGTGTTGTCATGTCTGTGCTTTATAATCATTAATTCTACATTTTCATACTTAGTTCCCCTGTATCATGTTGATAGTACTTTCCCGTGGCCTTCCGAGAATCAAAACGAAATCTTGGATTCATTTTGGCTCTGACGACTTTTCAATGAGTATTTCTCATTTCGAAGCAGCTGAATTTAACATGCTCTCACGCATCTGGAAAGCACCAGGCGATCGTTTTTACCTTCTGGGTCTCGTCGGGGTGCGCGTTCCGACCCCATGACTTCCAGGTGCTATCAGCTTGTGCCACTAAGCTATAGGTGACGGCGGTGGTCCTGCATCACTTACATCTGACTACGATATAATGCGGCTCATCCTCCACTGTTATGCCAATTACCAACTATGCAGAGGGCAGCGTTGGCTTCAGATATACCACCATGTACGACACAACCCTTCGAAGCTGTACGGACGAATTTTTGATTACTAGTGAGTAGTGAGGATATGGGTGTACTTGATAGGTAGTTCCGCAGTCACCACTCAAATCCCAACTACTCTTCGTATGCGAAAATTCGTCCGTACAACTTATAGGCGCTGTGTCGCTTTTGTATTACCCTTGCGTGTTCAGCGTCCTGAGTGCACAACATGGCACGACAAAACTCGTAGGAAACTTGGACAACGCTTCAATTCCTCAGAACTCAGTACACCGGAAGCAAATCCACTAGAAAACCGAAATTGGTCAGCGATCAACGGAAAACTTCAGTATTCAAAGCCGGCAGCAATTATGATACCACTAGGCAAACAATTGAGCATCAACTAAAGTACGTACTCTAGCGATATCTTTTAACAAAACGGTAGCATCCATTTTTGGAACAAAACGATATGGGTCGACTTCAAAGCCATCTGAAACCGATCAACAATACCACAACATTGGAGGCTACCGGATGAATGTCCGCGGTCTTGAGGACCCATCCTATAGGGAAGCAAGAATCGGCTATTCATCAAACAGGTCCACAAAACAGAATGAGCCAACAGGCTGCTGGAACAAGGGCAACTACTCAATGTAGGTGTGCGAGGTCGCAGGCCGAAAGGCACAGTGACGACAACAAACCCAGACGGACTAACACAATCAGTCGTCCGTTGCAATCATCACAACGGCTGGACAATGTGTGTCCAGGGTTGGGCGGATGGTCTATGCAGACTAAGGCATGTAACAGTAGCGTGCTAAGTCGATGTGTTTGTTTAACGGTTAAGAGCTTTGGTACACAGTGAGGACAGATAAGCCAAGACGCGTCAAGGGAATTCATCATCTATTGTTCAACTGATACAGGTTTTATTAACCTCGATATGTGTTTTGACTTCTTTTGCTTTTGAACTAACTAAGTCGCTGATTCTATTTCATTTGTTTTAGCTCTGACCACTCCGATGATGGAATCGTCTACCGTGTTGCCTCGGGGTGATGTATCGAGGAATTTGTTCCATCCGGACTTCGAGGGCTCACTTTCCGAGGTGAGCGAACGCGGGTTAACCCAATGGCTGAACAGTGTTTTCGCACCGTGCACAGTGGCCAACAGCGGGACACTCAACTTTTCCGGCAAGATTACAGAGAAAATGTGCATCCCAGGCAGCACTTCATATTGTGATGTGGTGGAAAAAGCACTTAAACTCCGTCACACGGTCACGGTGATCGGACCCGGACAACGATTAGAACGTGAAGTAGATGAGGGCAAAATCGTTCCTATGTCCGATCTGTCTCTGTTATCGGATAAAGGTAAGTTGCTCCGTTGAACCTCACACAATCGGGGTTTACAAACTTTCATCTAAATGTTGATTGCTGGGAGGAGGAGAACTTAGCTCTCTAGCAAGCACCTATCCTTGTTGGGCGACTAAAGTCTGTCCGACTAACTTTCCTTTCTTCTGCATGACTCACTCTCACTGATTTTCTCAGTTAATACATTGTTTGCTAGCATCACTTTCTGTTATCGTTCTGCTCAAGTTTTTGGGAATACATCTCGTTTGTCTGCACTTTGCGAACGAATGATCTGCCTCTCTGATGTGTTGTATCTTCTCGATTTCAACGCATATGCCCAGTCACTTGAACTCATACTGCACTTTTTCTCTTTCTTTTTCACGTGGTTGTGTTCCAGCACAGTAGCTTGTATGGTGTGTTGACCGAAGATGTTCAATGTCGATACCAGAATACAAGTTGGCTGATTGAGAGCCATTTTTAGTGTCTAACCTCCGAGGCACCATTGGATCACGTATTAGACACGGTTGATAGCCACAACCTGGCTCAGCTAGCACCTCTCATACTTTGGCTCGAATCACACAGTCACGCTTTCTGTACGACTATTTCAGTGATAGCTACAATCTATGGGCTTTCACTGCGAAACGGTTTGGTTCACAATAGTTTCGGGCTGATCCACCTTTCAGTTACGACGACTGGTCTCGATTTGCATCCTCATGATGAAATTCGTTGGCACTATTGCAAATGCTAGGATAAGAACGTGAGAGTCATCGGATGGGGTTTCACTAGTGGGGACAGCCAAGCAGCTGATTGCAACACTTCCACGGACTTGTATCTACTTCCATATAAAATAATTATAGCCCTGATATATCACCGGAGGTTGGGTGTCTTCTACTCATACTTTACGCGTCGATGTGACTGGATACTCACATAATCCGTTTCAGCTGTCGCCTTGGCTCTATTTCGAATAAAATTCGTTGTCATCACGTTGTTTTGGCGCTTTATGACATATTTGCTAGTTAATGTGAGGACGGCCCACGTATAGGCTCTTGGAACGAAATAAACTCCAGATAGGTGCCTGTTTCCGCACGAAAGTACTGCCATCTGTATTGGAAATGGAATGTCTTACAATCTACTGGAGCCAGATCTTGATGTTGTTATCTCAGTAGCAACAAATACCACCAGAAAGGTTTTCCGGGGCCTTGGAACCTAACGTTTGTTGCTTGCTCTGAGCCCGTGTGGATACTTTAATACGCAACACCCTTGGTGAAAACAACGCATCAAATTCGTCTACTGGTTTTCTTGTGTTGGTTTGACAATGTAATACAATTGTAGCGAAATCGTTCGTTCATTTGTGAGCTGATGTTAAGGAAAATTTGATTCACCATGAAGGAGAGTGTTTTCCGAGGGTTTGTGTATTTGTTACTAACTGGGGTTTCGGGAGGTTTCGCTTATTGGAACCCTCACACATTAACCAGGGTGCTTTTTTACATTTACGAGAAGTAAGCAGCATTAGGATGCCAGCCGAATAAGTGTGTTTCTCATAATGCATCTGGTCTCTCGGCACAGATTGAATAGTAGTTAGTGACTGAATGTTTTCCCAGACAGCTGGCCCACTGTTGCCGATGTCGGCCGGTGGCCGAGTCGTCTGCGCACCTCGTTTTGCAATCATAAGGTCTCCGGTTCCATTCCGCGTAAGGATGGGCGTCCTCGCTGCATACTCAGCCCGCATGCGATTGTGGTGGTCGCACGGCAGCGAAGCGCCGTTGCGACCTCCAGCTGACACATTCTTATTTACCCGAAGCGAGGCACAAAAGATCGAACGGGTCCAACACCTTGTTACCAAGCTCAACCCGAGTTTATGTGGCTTGGGGTATGAAGATCGGTGCGAGAAATTAGGACTCTACACCTTGTCCTACCGTCGGGTGTGAGTCTACCTCATTATGACCTACCGTATTCTACATCTGGGTGACTTCCCCATGTTGAGACCAATGCTGCACTTACGAGGGCCATGCAGCACACGCGGACACAGATACAAACTTGTCGTGCCGGGTGTAAAGCGAGTTCCCCACCCACTGTGGTTCGAACGGAGAGTGGTAAATATTTGGAACAGTTTGCCTGAACATGTGAGTTGTACAGAATTCGTTTCTACTTGCTCCACAATATACAGCATTCAGTATTATTATTATTACTATTACGGATGATTTGGGGATTGACGGCCGGCATACCTTATCACAACGCCTAATTCATGCAACACACGCATCCGACCCTGTACCTTTATTTAATCTCCTGTGGGTACTTGGACGCAACACCGGTTAGGGTATGCAGCTTATCGTACCAAGCTACAGTCACTTCTCATTGCAGCATCTGATTGAACAAAGTTTCTATTTTTTACATTGCTTGCGCAAACGCACCTCAAATAGTTTATTGTGTGTGGTTCTTCTTTTGACTTGTACACTCAGTTACATTTACGTTCGGTTACTTCTGTCACCCGGACCAAATTAGTTTTTTTTCCTTACTTCAAGTCCCTGTTTGTGTCTGTTCGTTGCAGGTGCGCAACAGCGATTGCTGGATCACCTGCTTAACACGTATGCCCCCATATGGCTACATGTGGCCGTGGATACTTTGGTAAATCGGAATTCTGAGACCGGGTCATCCACTGCGATCGACTCATTCGACCCACCCGAACCTGGAAATTATTCATCCGTTCGGACGAGTTGTCCCCTCAGTCGCAAGCTACGAGTCTACCTCTTTGCTCCTCCGCGTTTGCACAAAACTACTTCTGCTGTATCGAAGACATCCGAGAAGAGAATGGTATCCTCGAAAGTTGCTGCATCAGGTTCAGGTATGATTGTCTTTCTGCAACCCAGCTTTTAACTTTAAACTTGCGACATTCCACCGTGGAGAATCTAGCAACTAATACCTGTTAGTTATATACAATGCTTATTACTTTTGAGACACTCCCTAGCTCATGACTGGTCAATATTCGTTTTACCGTGCTCAGCTCTCTTTGTGGATGTCAACAGCTAAGTACTGTCATATTTGTGTTTGGCTCCAGTATAGTGTTAAGTTGTCTGGCGTACTACCTAATGTAGCATGCTCATTTCCTATAGAGCATTGGGAACTCAATCCCAGATCCTTTCAGTTCGTCGGCAGTGATCCGATCACCGAAGGCTGACGGGTCCATTTCCTATGTAACACCTCACCGTAAGAATAAGGACATGCAATAAAATGTGCGGAACGAATGAGGTGAAGGTACAGCCGAGCGCGAATAGAGCAACAGGAAAATAGGCGTAAAATGGTATGCAAGATAGCCGTTATCTCCACACCGTCTGAATACCGCATTGGCGCTCAAACTGCTGAAACCGCCGGTCTCGTGGACCCCTACAGAAATATAGCCTAATCCGGAAAACAGCTCATCTGCGTTCTTTACATTATGTCACTAACTGGTTGTGTCTAAGCATCGCATAGATCTTACCATGGATTACTTACCGATATACTTCATTCACATACGAACTCTCCTTCGCGGATATCACTTACTTTCCCTCGGCACCCACCTCTTCGGTTGCAGTTTGGTAGTTACACTATCCGTTATACGTTATCACTGTTCTTTTTGGAATACCTGTCTTCTTGTCCCGTTCCCATTTCAGTCTGTCCCTCGCGTGATCTGTTGCACAACCGTCATGCGGTGAAGCGCTTTCTCATTCTCGTTTGGTTTCTGGACCGTCTGAAGTCAAATCGTTTGATTGATTACAATCCGTGCTTGTTTCGCATGAAATCTCACATAAAGGTAGTTTTTCGCCTCCACTCTTCAAGACTCTTTGATCCGTATACTTTGGTTAATTTGCTTGCGCATAGATGAGTACAATATTGTCAAACTATTTCCTAGCTCGACTCCACTGTGGCTGTCGGCTACTGGCTATTCGTGCAGTTTTTTTTACTCACAGTATGGATGTCCTCTTGCTGAATCGCCGCATTCGTGATTTCTGTTACTTGGTGGTCATACCTCTGTTGTAATGCTCTGACACCAACTCTTACATCCGGATTTCAGCCACCATCTGCGTTTTCGATGGCTCTCTGTTGTAAACCTGCTCTATGCCTGCATTTGATTGTTGTCGTCATCCGCATTACAATCCACAATTTTTTCACACTGACGATGCGTCTCGACTGGTAATGAAACGTTTGCAGTCAGATTGCTCATATCGGAGAACAACTCAACATGGGATACTCCTCATTGCTTTGCCGTCGTCTCCACACATCATGTTTATCCATCTACGAATAACTCTGCTTTAGCTGTGGGGACATCGTCGTCATCAACAGTGTACACGTTAGCTGCAGGTGAAAAATACCTCACCCATTGTGCCACAATACAAAAGACAAGAAAAGAAAGCAACAGGCACGCCGGCTGAGTCACTAGTAACGGATGCACATCGTTGCGGAGAGCTAATAGCTGGCTATCGTGCCGTAAAAGAAGAGTTATATTACGCCTAATGAATGAGATCGTGATTGGAGGAGGAGGCTAAGCAGGAGGGGGATGGACAAAGGAACTCACGACACAAACGCGATTGGTGGCCCAAGCTATATCAGCAGTTGTGTCCAACCAATTGTGTTCATCGTCCTTAGGACCCCAGCCAAGCAGTCTGGCTACACCAACCGACGCCACTTTCGAAGTGAGGGTTTTCATTCTCCTCGACTAAGTCATCGTTTAGTCTCCCTCCTCCTCTTCCAACCGCACCCCGGCGCGCAAACAATGCACTTCGCGGGAGTCAGTGTGCTGGCATGCGCAACACGTGGCCCAGCCATCGGAGCCTGGTGCGTGATATAATGGTGCTGAGCGGTTCACTCGCTCTTCCTGCACCAAATGCGTGACGCCGAACACGCTCATTGCTCACGCGGTGCTCCTACCATCAGCTAAGCTGCGAAGGCAGCGATGATCGAATGTGACGAGCCTCTTAGTGTCTGTCGACCTGATGGGCCAGGTTTCACAACTATATAGGAGAGTTTAACGGACGGCTGCATTATAAACTCTGTCCTTCAGGGCGATAGTGATGTCGCGTCTGCGCCACAGGTGGCGGAGATTGGCAAAAGCGTCTCGTGCTTTTGCTATACGGTGCGTAATCTCAGTTTTGATACCACGGGCGCTAATATAGCTGCCCTGGTGCTTGAATTCCTGAACGACTTCTAGCTTATCACCACAAAGCGTTAGCGCAGGGGTGGGCTCTGTCAATTTTAGAGAAGGACTTTGCATTTCGATGGAGCGAAGCATAGCCAAAAACGATTGACAGCCAGTGCTACTCGACCCGGTTCAGCCTGGCACGTTTGGGCGCTGTCACATATGAAGGCAATATCATCCGCACACTCCAAGTCAAGAAGTCGCTCACCAGGAAATAACTCCACACCTTATAGGTCGTGTCCAGCGAACGCTGTTTCTATGAGTTCATCAGTAGCGAATTTAAAGAGGAACGGTGACAGCGGACACCATTGGTGATACTGGAGGGTGGCGACAGTTTGCCATAAACCTTCACTTTGCCCGAACTATGTGCGTACAGCGCTTTGATAATGCCTGCGTATTTCTCGAGCACATCTTTTCTCAGCAGACAGTCCCAAAGGGCACATCGATCCGCCGAATCGAAGACACCTTTTATGTCGAGAGGCACAACTTGGATCGCCGACAAACAAAGCAGTGCTCCAACAATTGACGCAAACTGAAGGTCTGGTAGATACAGCCTCGATTTCGACAAAACCCGGTTTGCTGTTCGCCGATCTGGCATTCACCAGCGCCAGTCAGTCTGTGGAAAACGACAGTGGCAAGTAATTTGGGAGCAGTTGTGATCGGACTGATCCCTATATGGTTGCCGCATTCCAAACGGGAGTCTCCCTTGAAAATCGGGACTAGGACAGAGCGGCTCGAGTCTGTCCGGAACAGTCTCCTGCTCCCAAAGTTTCACTAGCAACTCGTGTAAATGATTTAAAGAGAGCTGGGGGAATTCTATCTGTCCCTGTGGCCTTATGCGATTTCAACAGCCTGATCACGTTCGACTTCTGCGCGTGAGGGCGAATCCAAGGAGACGGACCAAGAAGAAGGGCACTCAATGCCCGATAAAGAAAGCGATAACTCAGATTGGTTAAATTGCCTTGCAAAGTGTTTGGCCCAACGCTCAAAGCGTTTTGACGAGCTGTGGATCGGCTGTCCACTCTCGCCACGTATTGTCTCGCTAACTCAAGGTCTCCTGCTGCCTGTTTCCCTTATCAGACGGAATAATTTACGATGATTACCAACGGGAGCGACTGTTTCCATTTCCGATGCATGATGAGACCACCACGCTTCGCGGTCTTTCTTCAGGCTAGCACGCAGTTTTGCCCTGAAATTTTTGTTAGTCTCATTGTATTCGCTTCCAGCGGGAATACGTCGGCGAGCATTCATAAGTTCTAGAGACTTTGTAGAGACCCAATGCCCAGTTTGACAATTTGATTTGTCACATGAAGACATGCCTGCTGATAGAAACATTTGACGAGTATGCGACCAGTGACCTTCGACGGTGTTTAGTGGACGCTTACTCAGCCAAGATGCCTGTGTAGTTTGATACGCATTCAGAACACCCGGTTTTGCCAACTGGCTGGTAACAATGCGCTCAGAGCGACGGTGCGGACGTCCGCCGAAACGCACCCGCATGTCGGCATGCACATGAGTGTGACCGGAGTCCACTCGTCGAGCGACAGTTTTGGACACAGCCTCTCCAGCGTTAACTAATCGCGATGTGATCGATTTGTGTCCATGGCTGTCCCGAGGCTGGTGGCCGCCAAGTCACTGTTCTGCGAGTGCTTTGTCGAAGGTTAGTGCTATCGAGAACAATACGAGCACCTTCACACAGGTCTAGCAACCGCACACCGTTATCATTACGGGAGCCTACACCATGTTGGCCGCCCAGATGAAGCTTATCAGAGGACCATTTCCCGACTTGGGCGTTACGATCACCAGCAAGCAACACAGTATCCGTGCTTTTTCTGTAACGAAGGAGATTGTGAAGTTGCTGATAGAAATCATCTTTTACCGCATCAGGGCTTCAGTTTGTGGAACGTAGGCCGCAATGATAAACAGGCACCGTTTGTCCCTGCGCGACTTTGAAGCCTGGAACGAGCCAGCCAACCTAACGGCTCACATCCAACTGTTGACAGGGATCCAGTGGACCAAGGCAGCTTCAGCCCGGGGACTCAAAACAATACCGACGCCAGCTTGACCGGCATTTGAAGCTGCATCATTGCCAGACAGGCGCAATGAGAATGTGCCGCCAGTGTCGCATGTGGGGGATCACAGGGTAAACACGGAGCACGAATCTTGCTGGCGGGTTTCAGATAAACAGCAAATATCGATCGATAGGGTCTCTAGTGTGCGGGTAAGTGCTTCCTGTTGGCCAATGTGTAGCAAACTGCGCACGTTGAGACATGCCATTCT